TAGGGGACACAGGACCAAATATGTTTGGACCCCTGATATTTCCCCAAAGCACATTGACGATAAAGTAAAAAAATAATAATAATAATAAGAAAAATAGTTTAAAAAGAAACACACACACACACCATGCATGTGCATCATAATGTGGTGTATATTATGCACATGCGCTGTGGGGCATTGTAAGAACAAATTGCAGTGGTTTATTTTTTTTTTTCTACTTTTACTTTTTAAAATAACATTCAACTGTGTGTCAACACATGGCAAAGCGTTGAGACGCATTGCCTTGTGTTGTACTTTGCTGCATTGCGATTAAATGTATGCTTGCATCATTTTATTGCAAAACACACCAACACAGCACACAAATGGCACTGCAGATCAGGCGTTACCTCAACACAGCTTTTCAGCATAAGTTGCTTATTTACAGTTTTGCATTCCTTCATATTTTACAATTTCTCAAAACGACACAATTTTAAATTTACAATGTTTATTTATAAAGGCAATACAGTTTTATCTTTTAGATTTAGTAAGAGTCTTGTAAGTTATGTTTTTTTTTGTGTGCACTGTTAATAATTTTAGTGTATTTTCATAAACAATATTGGTTTGATAGACATTTTTGCAACTGTGGCAGGAGTAACAAAATTATAAGTACCATCTTTTTATTCTACTGGTCCTATGCTTTCTGAAAATGTATGGTTCGGGGGGGTCTTTTACAAACTCTGAAAGCTGCAGAGGTCAATAGTGGAACGCAGGGCCTGGCCCGAAGGGGTTAAAGAGAACCTGTCGCCTCCAATGTGCTATTACATAAGGAGCTTGTGACTCTCCCTATGTAATAGCACTGAAACTAGGTAAAAGAAAAGTTTAAAAAAAAAGTGAAATAAAATAAATGTAAAAACAGCCCCAATTTTGTAAAAGTCCCCCATCCCCGCGAACACGCGCATACTAACGCAAAAACACGTCAGGTGCGTCTACATACAAAAACAACAATTGCACAGGTTTGGCCACGCCACTAGGGATGGGCTTGATGTTCGAGTCGAGCATGAGCTCGACTCAAACATCGGCAGTTTGTGTGTTCGGCGAACACAGGAACTGTCAGGGCGTTCAGCAGGTTGTTCGCCCGCCGAGCGCACCACAAGGCACTGTGCACCACACAGTGCCTTGTGAGCCCTGATTGGCTAAAGCCTTGCACCTGACCACAGGTCAGGTGCAAGACTTTGCCCAATCAGGGCACAGTACTCCAAGAGCCATGATTCGGCAAAGTCATGATGCCAGACAACTGTAAACAGTTGGGCAGAGCTAGCTCTGCCCAATTGTTTTTATTTTGCCGGCATCTGTCAAAATGCCATTCTGCGTTCGGGGTGTCGTGGTTTTTTTTTAACATTTATTATTTCTATTTATTTTTTCTTGTTGTTTTTATTTTTTATTTCGTTGACTCATCACTGTGGACAACACTGGACATCGTGATTACATTAGTGGATCCTTTTTGGGTTTTCTTTTTGCCCCCTGCCTGCACCCCCACAACCAACGCCCCATCGGCACGGGGACAAGGTGCTTTTCCAGGGGAGACCCTGGAAAAGCACCCTCCCAGTGCCGAGGGCATGTGGCCTGGTATAAGAGGTGGGGGAGGGGGTGCTCACTCGTCCCCCCCCCTTCCTGCCCTGCCAGACCTGTGCTCGAATCAACTGTCTGGTATAGAATTTTAGGGGGGACCCTTTGTTTTCCCCCATTTTAGGACCTTAAGGGCCTAGTATGACTTTGAGGGGGAACCCCCCCCCCCTTTTTTTTTTTTTTTTACATGGGGTCCCCCCTAACATTCCTACCCGACCTTAAGGGTCTGGTATGATTTTTGGGGGGAACCGCACACTTAATTTTTTTATTGGGGTCCCTCCTAACATTTCTACCAGACCTATTAATGGTTATTTTTTTCTTTACAAATGTAATTTTTTCTGCAGCAAGTTCTATACATCGTACTTATGTGCCACTATGCAGGCAGTTTCAGGGGACCCCTCAGGCACGATATTTAAAGGATTTTTTCATTTTTATTGTTACCCTTTAAGTTATGTTAAAATCACTGGTTTTTTAAAAACTGTATTTTTTTAAGTTTTTTTTTTCCATTGATTCATGTCGCCCAGGGCAGTTCCCTAATCCCCATACCCTTTTTATAGCCAAAATGGGGGCAATTGATTTTAAAAGTTCTACCCCCATAGACTTGCATTGAGTTGAGTTTGAATTCAAACTTTTTCCATGTTCTAAAGTATGAAGAGTTACACTCTAATGTCCCCCCATAGTCACATACTTTTATTAAGCTGCCCATACACCTTGCGATCATGGTACGAAACTTTTCGTCCGATGGTCGAACCGTCGCACGATTTTCATACGGTGGCCCCATCCTGCCCTGATTATCGCAAGGTTCAAGCAGCAGTAATTAAAAAAAGCATCTGGATGAATTGCGGTAATCGACCACACGTATTTTCGTTTGCGTATGAGTAGTGTAAATCGTACGAATTTTGACGTACGGAAACGCCACCAACCTTGCGAAAATCGTACGATCGACTGCCGTTTTCTAACCTGCTGGTTAGTGAAAAGTCGATCGATTGTACAATATTTGCGGTTGTACACTGCCCATCAACCTTCCGAATATTGGACGAAAAGGCGGTTACATACGAAAAACGGCCGATATGGGCAGCTTTATACATTTATATAGCTCTGACATATACCGCAGTGCTGTACAAAAAACACTGAGCCAATCACATTAGTCTCTGTACAGAGGAGCTTACACTCTAATGCAGAATGGCACCAGCTGTAAGGGGACTACAAATCCCAGCAATACATTTATACAGCAATGCAGAACAGTATACGAATTGGACTCTGGGCTTAGTAATACGCTGGACTCTGGGCTTAGTAACGCGCTGGACTTGGGCCTTAGTAACCCGCTGGACTCTGGGCTTAGTAACTCACTGGACTCGGGGCCTTAGTAACCCTTTGGACTCTGGGCCTTAGTAACCCACTGGACTCTGGGCCTTAGTAACCCACTGGACTCTGGGCCTTAGTAACCCACTGGACTCTGGGCCTTAGTAACCCGCTGAACTCGGGGCTTAGTAGTGCACTGGACTCTGGGATTAGTAACCCGCTGGACTCTGGGATTAGTAACCCGCTGGACTCTGGGATTAGTAACCCGCTGGACTCTGGGATTAGTAACCCGCAGGACTCTGGGATTAGTAACCCGTAGGACTCTGGGATTAGTAACCCGCTGGACTCTGGGTTTAGTAACCCGCTGGACTCTGGATTTAGTAACCCGCTGGACTCTGGGTTTAGTAACCTGCTGGACTCTGGGTTTAGTAACCCGCTGGACTCTGGGTTTAGTAACCCGCTGGACTCTGGATTTAGTAACCCGCTGGACTCTGGGTTTAGTAACCCGCTGGACTCTGGATTTAGTAACCCGCTGGACTCTGGGTTTAGTAACCCGCTGGACTCTTGGTTTAGTAACCCGCTGGACTCTGGGTTTAGTAACCCGGTGGACTCTGAGCTTAGCAACCCGCTGGACTCTGGGCTTAGTAGCCCGCTGGACTCAGTGACCCGCTGGACTCTGGGCTAAGTAACGCGCTTGACGCAGGGCTTAATAACGTGCTGGACACATGACCCACCTGAGACCCCACACAGCTCACCTGAGAGTGACCCTGCAAAGCCAACCATAGATGCTGCACAACCCATCTGAGACTCTCTATGTTGGCTCTGCAGGGGTCTCAGGTGGGCTGGTCGGGGCTGCATCTCCCTCCCAGCTCCTCTTAACTGCTCCTGCTGCCTGTACACCTGGACTCCTCTGCCACTGGACTGGCCAGAAGTGACGTGACGTCACTTCCGGCCAGTCCGAGATCAGAACACTGGACCAGTGGCGCTGCTGGGGCCCCAGCCTCCTCCGAAACCACTGGATCGGCACTACTGGGGCACGGCGCTGCTAGGGCCAGGCCTCCTCGTGCGCTGCGGGGGCCCAGCCACCTCCTTTTTGCCTGTCACCATCGGCCGATACCCATGTAAGGGTCCCGGGACCCCCAGGCTGCCTGGGCCCCCTACATGAGTATCAGCCGTACCCCCCTGATGGCGTCTAATCTGCCTGAGTTCGGCTCTGACGTCAGAACCAGCAGGCTCAGAGGAGCGGGAGCATGTTCTGCACCGGCAGCAGGTATCCACAATGTGACAAGAGGACCTGTATGGAGGACAGTGGGGGGACTGGGGAATGCACATATAAAACGGTATATTGCATTTTTAACCAATGCCTCTAAATATATGTATAATGCATATAATGTGTTGTGTTTGCAATACACATTTTACTAATAGCCACAATATATGATTGGATGCAGGCATTGATCAGGTATTTTGGGAGCCAGTAAGGACCGACTAGCAAGAGACTGAAGTTTGGCCCAGTGGGAGATTTCTCCATCCACACAGTTTAGCATATATGGAGGAATCTATTGCACTTTTTCTATCTGACCATAGAAAATCTGCAGATAATTTATAAGTGTATGGCCAGCTTAATTGAAAGTAGAAATGTAGCTTGGGGAGGAGCAGCAGCTTTTCCAGCATACGGTAGATGCACATTGTGGCAGATTTACCTGTGAGCTTACCCTCCATCAGTGATGACAAGTCTGTGCTCTCCCTCACCACCTCTGCCATCTTCTTCTCCACTGCCATTTTTTTTTCGGCCACTTTTTCTGCATCCAACATCTTCTCTTCTCGGCCATAGGATGACCTCTGAATTATGTAACTTCTGCATTGGAGTTAGATTATCCCAGCACCCAGCTCTATTCAGAGCATATGCACCACTGGTAGTGGAGTTTTATTTATTTTTTGTTAGAAGAGGGATGCAATGTCAACCACCAAAAATCTAGCTCTTGGCTTCTGTTTTGTGTGTACAGAGATAGCTCCCTTTAAATGCCAATCTAACAGCTCATATACCATCTAATATTTATAAACAGCTTTTCTTATATTGTCTTCTTTTTTTTTTTTAGTGTTGGAAGTTTGCCAGTTTGCAAGAGATGCTTCCATGGCAGAAGCCTGGCTTGTAGCAAAGGAACCTTACTTGTTTACCACACATGTAGGAAATAGTGTGGACGATGTGGAAAAGTTATTAAAAAAGCACGAAGCCTTTGAGAAATCCACAGTAACATGGGAAGAGAGATTTTCAGCCCTGGAAAGGCTTACTACGGTATGTCCGCAACACGATAGGCTGCAACTAAACATCAGCTGAGGCAGCTTTCTGAGTTCCTTTAGGTGAGGGAAAGTGGTATATATGAAATAGCTGAGTAGGATCAACACAGATGGCTACATTGCCCAGCTTTCCAGCTTCTAACAATGTCTTATCTATCAGATCACATATCTATCTTAGGGGTTCATAGGTCACTGATCCTGAAATATGAATTTCTGACCTCTGTTCTGGCAATTATCTTAATATGTATCTAAGATAGTGGATTTGAGAAAACTTTGATAAATGCAGAATTCTTTTTTTTACAATGCCCGTTGCCCTTTTGCAGCTAGAATTACTGGAGATACGGAAATATCAAGAAGCTGCAAGGCAACAAATGGCTCAAGCCGCTGAATCTGAAAAGAGGGAGATCCAAGTGGAAATACAGTAAGAGAAATAAGCTTTAAATGATGGTGGGCCAAAACTGTTACAAATGAAGGGTGGGTATAGCAGAGCACAAAAACTCCACAAATGAGGGGTGGGTATAGCAGAGCACCATGCTTCTCTTTTTCACTCTTAGGGCTTGTTTACCCCAAAGGCAGACCAGATCTGCATGAGTTTCTGCACATGCAGTGCAGTATGATTTGCCGCGTTTTTGCCATGTTTCGGGCCGTTTTTTTCTTTTTATCCTAAAATGAGCTGTCAGTGCATCCCAGGGTGTTTGCATGCATTTTATGAGTTTGCATGCGTTTTGGTGCATTCCAGAGCAGAAAAATAGGGCATGCTGCAGTTTTTCCACATGCTCTGGAACTGAACGTTCTGGTGTTAACTAGAGCCAAAAATACCATTGGAATACATTGGATGCAGTTTTGATGCGTTCTGTAACTGCTCTGCTCCGCACTTGTTGTGAACTAGCCCTTAGTAAGTCTCTTTTTTTTTAGACAGCTGCACTTTTAAAGGCTATCCTTCACCAATGCAGCCAGTAGACTATGCATTTATTGAATGTCATTGACCACATAAATAAATAAGTAGGTCCTATAAGGCTCAGTGTTCTTCACCTGAAAAACTACTCCTAGCTGATTTCAGCTTTCCATCTACGTTTTTGCATAGTCACTGTATTTTTACATTTGACGATTTGTCACTGTATTTTTACATTTTTAAATTAAGTCTATAGTGTTAAAGCATTGATGGTGAAATCAGGCCAACGCAAAATAGATGAATATATTTTTTATTAACCTCTTTACCTAGTGCTGAACCAACAGAGGAAAGGGAATACTTAGGACCACACCCTGGACAATTAGATGACCAGACTATGGAGGTAAGATAATAGGCAGGACCTTCTACTTTCAGATTATGCAAATTGTTTATCATCTGTTGCAGATTAAAAGATTATGTTCATTTTTGCAAATTCCATCAAGTCTTTCATATAATCCAGGTTTAACAAATTTCCATTTCTTGAATTTTGTATACTGTACAGATCTGCTAATAAAATTATATCTATTGCATATGCAAGTATGTTTAAGATTAGTCTAATGGAAAACAAAAAAGAAACAGACATGTGCCATGATGTAATAGATTTACTGGGACAAGTAAAGAAAAAAAACGTATTATTCTCATAAAGTGCATATGATACAGCACATACACTTGCACATAGAATGAGGCCTCATGCACTCGGCAATCCAGGTGCGTTTGTAGTTCTTTGGCTTTCTTAACTGGCCCCGGATTACATAAGTGTCATGGATGCTTACTGGAGTTAAATCATCCTGGCAGCAAGGAATCCACAGTTGTACACTGATCTGTGCATGCGTGGCTTAGTGTAAAACTTTTAGAAACTTGCTAGAGGGCTTGGAGTTTAGGTCCCTCCATTAGGCGGCTGCTGTGGAGGCACCCATGCATGCACGTTCCCGGCCATGCCTGCATTAGCTGTGTGTGTTCATAGACGCACACAGCCCTGTGGCAGGCACTCCTCCCTAAAGGGTGATTGACGGCAGAAAGGATGATCTTAAAAATGGTTCTAAATGAGAAATTAGAACGTTCTAAATAAGTATCCTTGTCTCTGTGAAGAGCGCTACTATATAGTGAAATCTGTCATATTCCTGTCTGAAAGGACAGCAGTATCATAGGCTTTAAGTTTTTGAATTACCACAGCACTTGCTGAGAACGGTTCATGTTTTCTGTTAGCTGGTGGCAGCTACTGTTTGGTGTGTAAAGGGTTAACTACAGAGTTAACTAACCCTAGTGACAATCACTCTGTCTGCTGGCCTGAGATTGTTGTCCCACGAGCTGGGAAATCTTTGTGCAGGATGAGCTTGGAAGTGGTTCTTGTGACGGCTCGCTCGGTTCAGAACTGCGTATAGAGTAAGGGGGTTTTTATATTTGGGAATCAGGCTAGTTGTCAGATGTAATAGACAAGTTGCTGGGTCATCTCTAAGATTCACCATGGTCAAATTTTCAATGATTTCCATTTCAATGAGTCCCAGAATGATTGCTGCATCGCACAGGACCAAAATATTTGTAACATTGTCCCTGAACCCAAAACCCAGTGGCGTAACTGCCGGCATAGTGACCTAAACGGTTGCTATGGGGCCCAGGGCAGAGAGGGGCCCAATCAGGAGGCCGGGGGTCCGCAGCGGAGGAGGCCCAGGGTCCTGCAGCGCGGGTCCGGCGGTGGAGGAGGAGGCCGGAGCCCTGCAGCGCCGGTCCAGCAGTGAAGGAGGAGCAGGCTAGGGCCCAGCAGCGGGTAGCTCAGTGTCAGGGTACTGTGCGTGGGTGTCCCCACACCGCATGCAGGTACCCACGCAGGAGGAACAAATTAGTATGACCACACTAGACAAGATCAATGAGTTGTATACAATTTATTGTAAACAGCAAAACAAACACAACAACCCCACCAACACCCACAAGCAAGCACAAGAAAATAAAGTAACCGAATAAATATAACCACAAATACATACAAAAGATAACGTAAAGTATCTAAACCAGGAGCAAATAGCTGAATACACACCCAGGGTATACAAGCCAGGCAAACCTGGGAAGCAGGGCAAGACCAGGGGAGCTGGGCCATACCAGGGGAGCTAATGGACAAAGGGTCAGGGTACAGGCAGGTAACAGGACTCAGGACTGCAAGCAGGTAACAGGCTCAGGACTGCAAGCAGGTAATGGCAACAGGCTGCACGCAGGTAACAGGACTCCGGACGTGGGACTCAGGATTCACAGGAAATGGCAATGGGCACAGGACTCAGTCAGGGAAAGGCGACGGGATACTGAGCCACATTCCTGACTGACTGTAGGGAGGGATTAAATAACATCCCAGGAAGCATCAGGTGGTGGATAACCGCATGCAGCTGTGACACACCCGCAGGTGAGCACTGGAGTCACAAGTTCCAGCACCACCCAGTGGTGGTCTGGTACCTGACAGTTCCTGGCTGCCTGGAGACACCTGCAGGCGAGCACAGGAACTGCAGGACCTGGCTCCAGCGCCACCTGGAGGTGCTCTATGTCCTGACACTTGGAGCTGACAGATAAGAGGAGCGCATGTGTGCGGTAAAACGGGCCCCGACCAGCCCACCTGAGACCCTGCAGAGCTCATCATAGAGTCTCAGGTGAGCTGTGCAGAATCTATGGTGGGCTCTGTAGGGTTACTCATGTGGGCTATGCAGGGTCTCTAGTTTATGCAGGGTCTCAAGTGGACTGTACAAGTGTCTCAGGTGGGCTGTGCGGGGTCTCAATTGGGCTCTGCGGGGTCTATGGTGGGCTCTGCAGGGTCACACTCAGGTGGGGTCTTAGGTGGGCTCTGCAGGATCTCAGATGGGCTCTGTGGTGGGCTGTGCAGGGTCTATTGTGTGCTCTGCAGGGTCTCTGGCATGTACTGGGTCTCAAGTGGGCTGTGAGGGGTCCATGGTGGGCTGTGCAGGGTCTCAAGTGGGCTTTGCAGGGTCTATGGTGGGCTCTGTGGGGTCTCTGGTATGGGTCAGGGTCACTCTCCGGTGGGGTCTCTGGTATGTGCAGGGTTTAAGGTTGGCTCTGCAGGATCCAAGGTGGGCTCTGTGGGGTCTATGGTGGGCTGTGTGGGGTCTCAGGTAGGCTCTGCGGGGTGTCAGATGGGCTTTGCGGGGTCTAAGGTCTGAAAAGGAGTCTACCATTTTGTGTATTAGCCAGGGAGCTCTATACCACCGTGTCACTATTCTATACCCCAATTTCTGGTACTTGCTAGCCCAGGGAAGATTTGAATATCATAGAAAGAACAATGCGTATATGTTGCTCTGTAAAGGCGCATTCTAATTCCTCTTCCCATCTTTTTAAGAACAGTGGAGAAGAGTCCGCTGGGGAAGAGGTGAGCATCTTAAAGATCGTAGAGATGGTGTGGCATGTAGGTAATCGTCCCTTACACATCTCTTCATATACAGTGCAACGTCTGTCTAAGGCTTTAAGACTTAGTGACGCACCGGACTCAGGACTTAGTGACGCGCCGGACTCAGGACTTAGTGACGTGTCGGACGCAGGGCTCAGTGACTCGGGGCTTAGTGACACGCTGGGCTCGGATCAGTGACGCGCTGGACTCGGGGACCAGTGACGCGATGGACTCGGGGCTTAGTGACGCGCTGGATCTCGGGGGCCAGTGACGCGCTTGACTCGGGGGCCAGTGACGCGCTTGACTCGGGGACCAGTGACGCGCTGGACTTGGGGACCAGTGACGCGCTGGACTCGGGGACCAGTGACCCGCTGGACTCTGGGCTCAGTGACCCTCTGGGCTCAGTGACGCGCTGGACTCTGGGCTCAGTGACGCGCTGGACTCGGGGATCAGTGACGCGCTGGACTCGGGAATCAGTGACGCGCTGGACTCGGGGATCAGTGACGCGCAGGACTCGGGTATCAGTGACGTGCTGGACTCGGACCAGTGACGCGCTGGACTCGGACCAGTGATGTGCTGGACTCGGATCAGTGACGCGCTAGACTCGGGGACTAGTGACGCGCTGGACACGGGGATCAGTGACGCGCTGGACTCTGGGATCAGTGACGCACTGGTTTTAGGACCCACCTGAGACTCCACAGAGCCCACCTCCTCTGCCGTTGGTCTGATGCTGCTGGGGCCCAGCCGCCTCCATATAAGCAGCAACCGTGTGTATTTCCGAAGGGGAGGACAGTCCCTGGATAATATTGGAGATTCGAAACCCCGGACAGTATTGTGGAAAGGTTCCAGAATTAAGACAAAGATAAACGGCGAGAGTGGGCATCCCTGACGTGTCCCCTTTAATAGGGTAAAATACTGAATATTGTTAACTTTATCACATATCACCAGGGACAGGAACAGTTTAAAGTATGGAATTGTAAGCATTGAAGAAATGACTGGGGAGCAAGGGAAGGAAGGATTTATAATAAAGGATTGAAAAACTGTTGGAACCCGAAGCTTTACCGGCTTGCACAGTTTTTAAGGCCAACTCTAATTCTATCAGCAAGATTGGGGATTCCAGTTGGTTTTGTTCATCAGTTATGAGGGAAGGCATACCAGAATCCCTTAGATCACTTCTGTAAGAATTGTATAAAGCTGGAGGAGATAACCTAGAGCAGGGGTGCCCATAAGGTCAATCGCGATCTACAAGTCGATCGCAAAGCTAATTCTGGTAGATCACGATCGGAAGTTATAGTTGGCTGCTCCGTTTATCTTGGAGCTCAGCTGCTGCTGGCTGGGTGCAGTTCTCAGACATGACCAGCAGGTGACGCTCTGTCGCGGCCAAGCTCCGATTAATTATAACGCACATACAGAACTACTTTTAGCTGATCCGCTTGCATTGCAACTCTGCATTAGTCAGTGGTAAATGTGGTATACACTATATACACTAGTTCAGGGGTAGCCAAACTCCGGCCCTCCAGCTGTGGTGGAACTACAAATCCCATGAGGCATTGCAAGATTCTCACAACCACAGACATGACTCCCAGAGAGAGATGCATCATGGGATTTGTAGTTTCACCACAGCTGGAGGGCCAAGGTTTGGCTACCCCTGCACTAGTTAGTTTCAACAATCCATGACTTAACTTCACAGTTCACACAAATACGTTTTAAATTCAAACTGTAGAACTGACGTAAGTTATTTTTTATAAAACTTTATGCAAAATGTTGAGAGTTTAATTATAAAACGTATCCAGTATACTGACTGTCAGTCATTTTATAGTAGGCAAGTAGGTATCACTTTAGCCAGTCACGCAGACATACCTGAGCGTTTACATTTTCTGGAAGCAGACATGATCGCATTTTATTGACGATATACCCTGAACAACTGAACAGTCTTTCGCACGGAACAGATGTTGCCGGTACACAAA